CACAAAACTAAAGACTCATAACTCCAAAACTATAGCAAGGAGAGTCAAAAGGTAGGTATCGTTTGATAGAACACTTTTCAATTTTTTTGAAAAGATAAATTACATTACATTTGGACATTTTCCTGCCGAGAAACTCCTGATAAAAGACAAAAAATAAATATAATTTTTATTATGATTTTGCATATCTTTCTTATTTGACATATAATAACTCAGGAAGGAAATAAGGTAGGTGGAAAATTCTTTTTTGGTGAAGTCCCTCTACATGTGAGCTGCATCTGGATAAAATTTTGTGGTGATTGGATAAAGGAATCAAAAGTTATAGCATTTGGAACCAAGACAGGCTTTTTGTTCAGTCATTGACGCCCCCTAATGGGCATTTTTAAAATTGTTCCTCCATGGAGAATATCTTGTCATAAACGCAATAGATTATGTTCATTTTGGGCTCATTTTAATTGTAATAGTATGCTGTAAAAAATGATGTGCCATTTTCAACGATCTGTGAATGTTTCATGAGCTGTATTATGTTTTTGGCACATTGCAGTACATAGTACAAAAAAGTATTTTATAGATTATGAAAAAAATTAATTCTATTTATCAGCAAATAACTAAGCAATACTTAGGAGATGTTCAAATTGGCTACATTCACTGTAAAGTTCAGACTCTAAGCTTTCAAATGACACCTATTTTGTGTTAATCAAGGCAATATTTTTGAATAATATGATAATTAATATTTTCGCAGCCAGGTGGCCCCCGCGGGCGGTGCCGTCAGAGTTAAAGGGACTACTCAGCACTCGTTCAGAGTTGATCGAAGTGGTTAGAAGCTTTAAAAAGCTGAGATTCTAAGCTTTAAGATGATACATATTTTGTGTTATCCCACGTTTGAAAAAAGCACGGATGGCTCCGGAACCATTGGAAAACACATTGCATCCCGGAAAGATGAGAGACATGTTTTTTAGCCAAGCATGCATCACTTCGTGAGGTATATCTCGCGATCAACGCAATGGATTATGTTGTGTTTGGGCTCTTTGTAATCGTGAGAATCTGCTGTCAATAAAGATGTTCGATTTTTCACAATCCATGCATGTTTCATGGAGTTATGAGCTGAAACGTCACATCAAAACAACATAGCATTACTGCTACTGCTACTTCATTGGTGCGCATAGTGCAACGTCATGTGTTAGAAGTCCATAAGGAATATCTTTAGATCTGAGTGATGGATTATGGTGAGTTTGGGCTCTTTTTAATCTTAACAATCTGCTGTAAATAATGATGTGCCATTTTACACGATCTATGCATGCTTCATTGAGTTATGAGTGAAATCGCGGCATTAGTGCTCCATCTATATACAAGGCTCTATGTGCGCCTGTGGGGGTTCGTGTGTTACAACTCCATTAGGAATATCTTAAGATCTGAGTGATGGATTATGCTGTGTTTGGGCTCTTTTTAATCGTGAGAGTCTGCTGAAAATAATGTTGTGCAATATCCTACGATCTGTGCATGTTTTATGAAGTTATAAGCGAAAAACCAACGCGAGTGCTTCACCAGTATATACTTGGCTAGGTACGTCTGTGGTATTTTTTGTGTTGGAACGCCATGAGGAATATCTTTAGATCTGATTTATGGAATATATTGAGTTTGGGCTCTTTTTAATCGTGAGCTCCTGCTGTAAATAACGGTATGTCATTTTTCATGATCGATGTATCTTTCATGAAGATACGAGTGAAAAGGCCAAGTCTAAGCTACCTTGCTTGGCTACGTGCGTCTGTGGATTTTCTTGGTGGTAGAAATCCATGAGGAATATCTTTAGTTCTGAGTAATGGATTATGTTAAGTTTGGACTCATTTTAATCGTAAGAATCTGCTGTAAATAATGATGTGTCATTTCCCACAATCGGAGTATGTTTAATGAAGTTACGAGTGGAAATGTGTCTTAAATTATGCATCCTTATATGATTTACAAATGGGTCTCTTGAGGGGCTTCTTGTACAAAACCTCACTCAAGTTTAGTAAAAAGCCCGAAACAATTATGCTTGTTGTATTCTACTCATTGAGACCTTTCAAATGACATATGGCACATGACTATCTGAGCTGTATGATGTATTTGACATATTGTAGTATGTAGTACAAAAAAGTACTTCATAAATTATGAAAACATTTTTTTTCTATTTATCAGCAAATAACTCCGCACTACTTAGGAAGTTATCAAATTGGCTACATTCATTGTAAATTTCAGACTCTAAGCTTTCAAATGACACCTATTTTAAGTTGATCAAGGTAATATTTTTGAAAAATATTATTATTATTTTATATCGCAGCTAGGTGGCGCCAGCTGGCGGTACACTCCGTTTTAGAGGGATTACTCAGCACTCGTTAGGAGTTGATCAAAGTGATTATATGCATTAAAAAGCTGAGATGCTAAGCTTTAAAATGATACCTATTTTGTGTTATTTCATTTCAGTGGTTGCTTAGAAATTTGAATATGAAGTTTTTTTCGCGGGGGGGCGCCCCGTTGCCCCCGGTACCGGGGGCGCTGGTTATTAACAGGTTAAGGTCTACCTGGCTGCGATTTCAGCCTGTCATGTGGGTTTTGGGGCTCCACCGTCAGGCAGCACCCTCTAACCCGCAGATTTATGGAGGGTGCACGCCGCTCTTTGCTGGTCATCAGGAGATCTGTTGAATCTGTCCCAGAGTGGGACCTCTCCATGGTGCTGGAAGCGCGGTCTCTGTATCCTTTTGAGCCTCTGGGGAGTATTTCCCTTAAGCTGCTGTCCCTCAAGACAGCTTTGCTCTCGGCCTTGGCATCTGCTAAACGGGTCAGTGAGCTACATGCACTCTCGGTTCACCCCTCGTGCGCCAAATTCTCCCTAAGTGGAGATAAGGTTTTCCTTAAGCCTAACCCGGCCTTCATGCCGAAATGCTTCCCTGCGTTCACGTCGGAGGTTTTGGAGCTATCCGCTTTTCACCCTCCACCCTTTGCCTCCCCGGAGGATCAGGGGCTGAATGCTCTGTGTCCCGTCCGTGCTCTGCAAGCATAATGACCAGGACCAGTGCTTTCCGCAAGAGCGACCAGCTCTTTGTTTCTAGGGCTCCCCTGCACAAGGGGAGTCCCATTTCAAAGCAATGCCTCTCACATTGGCTTGTGGACGCTATACTATGGCTTATGAAGCAAAGGGAGTGCAGCCCCAAGGGGCATCAGAGCTCATTCCACAAGGGGCTTAGCCGCCTCTTGGGCTTTGTTCAGGGGAGTGCCACTGCAGGACATCTGCTCCGCGGCCAGCTGGGCCTCTCCTCATACCTTTGAGCGTTACTACCGGTTGGATGTCACCAGAACTTCGGTGGCACACTCGGTCCTAGGGGTAGGGTCCTCTTAGCCCTTTCCCACAGCCCCGTTTGGTTAACCAACGAGGAGTGAATGGGCCGGCTGGCCATGTTCATTCCTGTCACCAAGCATTCGCATTCCTTCTTGGGTTTAGCTATGTGCATTGGTGGTGCGGGGGCCATTATCATGTATGTGTCTCATGCATGTTTCATGCCCTGCTTGTCCACAGCAGTTAGCGTGGCGGAAAACTTGCAGGGTCATGTTTGTGGGACGTGTCAGGCACCGCCTCTCTGAGGTGACCGTCCTTCTCTGGCCTTCAGAACCTCACTGTGAGTGTATTGGGCAATCGGGGAGCTGTCCATGTCTCTCCCATAGGTGGATCTCGAAACGAGATGATGAAAGAGAACAATAGGTTACTGTCGTAACCCCGGTTCTCTGAAACATCGAGTGGAGAGATCCACCAGCCTTGCCCCGCTTGCCGCACGAGAAGCGAATATACTGACTGAGGAATAGCAGCGCGCCCAGCTGTGATATGCCCGTAGGTAAGGGGGTGTGGCCTCACCTGGCATTGGCTGCGCGCTTCTGTCTGTTAGCCAGACTTGGTGCAATTGGATGCTTCTGCAGAGGTCAGGTACAGATGCCCTTCCCATAGGTGGATCTCTCCACTCGATGTTTCAGAGAACCGGGGTTACGACAGTAACCTATTGTCTCTAACAGCACTTTGCGTTTTCTGTTCTTAAACCTGTCTCCCTCAACGAAACCTAAAGGAAGTAGGATATGTCTCAAAATAATTTTGCTATCATTTCGGATCACGCGGGGTCCAGCTGCGCTTACCTGCAGTCGTGAATGCAGTGATGGACAGCTATCTTTCCTCATTCGACTGTTTGGATTTCATGTGATTTCTCATTGTGTTGATGATATTATAACTCAGATTAATTAATTAATTCGATCAAAAGTAATTCCATTCAGTAAGATCATTTTCAAGTAATTCCAAACTTCGCGAGGCAGACGACAACATTATGTGATCAAATACACACAGCTTGTTAACACGCTCCACAGCGCCACCCAGTGCATTTAATTATAACTGCGAGTTAGTGCTTGGGATTTATCATGGATTCACTGCATTTACGGCCAGCAAAGCAACGTAGTAAAATTCGAATAGTATTTTATTTTTCGAATAATAATTACAGATCGAATATTCGAAAATTCGAATATTCGTGCACATCCCTAGTTTTCAGGCTTTCCCGCTTAGGTCTCTCCAGCGTTGGAAAGCTTTTCTAATATTAATGCTGGTCCAAAAGCTTATGCCTGATCATAGCCCTTCATAGTCCAGTGATATTCCTCTGACCTTTTCTCTTTGGTAATGTCTCTCAGCCATCTCTTTTTTACAGTCTTTAAATCTCCCTCTTGCTCACTCTCTCTCCTCCCCCATCATAAGTGTGTTGTGGTGCTCGGTCCGATCCACTTTCAACAGCATTTCTCAAAAATCACTTACTGCACTTTTAACACTCCGGAAAACAAAACCTTTTTATTTTAAGAGACTTCTAGTACAGGTTGCATTCTGCACCTCTGGGAAAGATGTTTCTGAAGTCTCTGAAATTGCTCTGCTTGTCATATTCAAACCTGTGTGGTTCTGTAATGTATAAAATACTCTTCTGTTGTTGTTGTTTTTTTAACCACAGATTCTAGTCTTGAGGGATGGCTCTCAATGCCTACCAAAAACACCAAACGGTTTGGATGGGAAAAGAAGGTAAAGGTTTAAACATACACACTCACATCACATCAACAAACCCTGTCTGACCATCTTTGCATGTATCTCTGTGTAAATTGCAGTATGTGGTGGTCAGCAGCAAGAAGATCCTGTTTTATGACTCTGAGCAAGAGAGAGAGCAGGCCAGCCCCTTCATGATTCTGGACATAGAGTGAGTTTGGAAAATGCTACTCGCTATCTTGGCCTAAATTTACGATTTATGTATTTAAATTGCATATAACATGTCCATTCACACAGTTTACACCTAAACTAATAAACTGAATGTGATGCATATTTATCAGTCATCAATGAAACGAGCAAGATACCTGCACTCAAAAAAAGGCGTTTTTGGTTTATTAACTATTTGCATCTATTTGATGATATTGAAATATATCAATATGATATATTGATATTTAAATCATATTTTCAAACTGCATTTGTTCAAACGAATCAGCATGAAACTGTTCAAAACAATTACATTTATTGAGTTGAAGTATGAACATGGTTAAAATATGGCTAGCTGTGGAACAAGCAATATTCAGTTAGTAAAAATGTATGAGATTGAAAGTAATTGAATTGATTTAATGATAAATATATAAACGTTGTTATTGTGTATTTAAATCAAGTTCAGTTTATTAGTAATATTATAGAAATCTTGCCTGTTTCATAATGTATGACTGACAAATATGCACGTTCTGTTCATCGTGATAGTCAAATAAACACAACTTTTTGTGCATTTTGAAGCATAAATACAATCGGCAGAAGTCAACTACACCACAGTCGCATGACTTTAACGTCACCAGCACTAAGCTTCAGACAACTCTTTCAGTCTTTGTTTAAAAACATTTTCCATGAAAGTTCAAGTTATGATAGCTTGCAAGAGCTTGATTATAAACACAATGAGGCTATGAAAATGCAATAGTGAATAGATGAGTTTACCTGTTTGGCGTGATAATGTTTAACATCCCCGACAATCTCTGTTGTCCCATTTAGCCACTTGTTAGCAACTGCCTTTTACAAGACAAGTAAAGGCTTTAAAAAATCACAAGAGGGTATTACTGATGTATGTCATATTGTAGAATAAACCTTGAAAATATCTTGAGCTTGTGTTCTCCTCAGTCCTTATTTAAAGCATTTAACCAAAAACCCATTCAAAAATTCTATTGACTTCAGGACGAATGGTGCGTTCACGTGCTATGGAAAATATGATATTTTCCACTTGTGAACTGGTATTTACCAGTGTGTTGCGTTCAAGTGCTTTTGTTGTCGTAGTGTGGTAAAAAGATGGAGATCCAGACCTGTTATTTAGCTAAAACTATTTTAGATTGCTTAAGTCATCTGCTACAGCAAGAAAATGATTTATCAAAACTCAAACGTAAATAATATATGCTGTATATTTTCTAGATCATGAATAGTACATATTTTTACCATTCACAACTCTTGCGTTGCTCTCCGCCATTTTGAAAAGGTCAAAGGTAATCTCATCTCGGCAACTCGTGCATCAAAATATTCTACGAGTTGCCCAGTGGAAAATACCACATGAGGGGGTGTTCATGTGCATTTTCCATGTCGGCTTTTGGTATTTACCATAATTACCATAGCACGTGAACGCACCAGAAGTTTCCAGGTTTTGGCCTACAAAAATACATCATCCCTGCACCACTCTGTTAGTTTATGTTAAAACTGTGTAATCCAAATGGATGGAAATTTTATACGTGATTCAATAACATAAATTTAAAATTTAGGCCTAAATATTTTTGAGTACACACATTTACTGCTCTCTTGCACACCATAAGCCTATATTTTCAATTTCTCCTTTTCCCCTCTTAGCAAACTCTTCCATGTGAGACCTGTCACTCAGACAGACGTGTACCGTGCAGATCCCAGAGAAATCACACGCATCTTCCAGGTAACATGATTCATTTGTTCTACAAGAAATGTTTTAGCATGCTTTGATATGAACCTTATTAAACCTCAGTTTTCATCTTCCGTTTTGTCTGTAGATATTATATGCTAATGAGGGGGAGAGCAAGAAAGAGGAGCTTGCTGTGGAACCCTTATTAGCAGCTGAAAGGTCGTCCTATATCCCACACAAAGGTCACGAGTTCGTGCTCACGCTTTACCACTTCCCCTCTAGCTGTGAAGCATGTCCAAGGCCTCTGTGGCACGTCTTCAAACCCCCACCAGCCCTGGAGTGCAGGCGCTGCCGAGTTAAATGCCATAAAGACCACATAGATCGCAAGGAAGAGGTCCTTGCTCCTTGCAGAGGTCAGAAGGTCACACTCACAAAGCACTTCAAATTCAAATTTACATTACTGTAGCTTTTTAAACACATTAGAATATTTAATAATTTGCTCTGCTATATAATAATTATAATTAATATATATAATATTTTGATTATTATATTTGTAATTATTTTAATGTTATACTATATATATATATATATATATATATATATATATATATATATATATATATATATACACACACAGCATAATATATTATAACTTCATTATAGATATAAAATATTTGTATACTATTTATTCAATATTTTATTCTTTTTTTATTCTTATTGTTTATGTATTTATTTTAGGGCTGTCAAATGATTAATCACGATTAATCACATCCAAAATAAAAGTTTTTTTTACATAATATATGTGGGTGCACTGTGTATAATTATTTTGTATATATAAATACACACACATGCATGTATATTTAAGAAAAAAAAATATTTATATATAAAATATTTATATTTATATATAATATAAATTATTTATAAATCTATATACAGTATATACATGAAAATATTTCTTAAATATATACAAGCATGTGTGTGTATTTATATATATATAAAATAATTATACACAGTGCACCCACATATATTATGTAAAAAAAACTTTTATTTTGGATGTGATTAATCACGATTAATCATTTGACAGCCCTAATTTATTTAAAAGTAAGATTTAGTAGAAGAGTAGAAGTCTGTTATGCTCACCAAGGCTGCATTTATTTGATCAAATATACAGTAAAAACTGTAATATTCACTGAAAATTTCATTTTAATACACTACAATTGTTGTTTACTATTTTTTATATATTTAGTTGTAAATGTAATTTATTCCTATGATGGCAAAAAATGTCAGCAACATTACTCCACTCTTCAGTGTCACATGATCCTTCAGAAATCATTCTAATATGCTGATTTGGTGCTTAAGAAACATTTTTTATTAATTTGTCAATGTTGAAAACAATTGTGCTGCTTAATAATTTTGTAGAAAGTTTGTTTATTTATTTAAACATGGACTTTTGTACATCCCCATTGTGTACTTTGGGTTGAAACTAACCTGTTTTGTTTGGCCTTTTTTCCTCTCCAGTGAACTATGATATGTCCACTGCGAAAGAGCTGCTGCTGCTGGCCAACTCCACAGAAGAGCAGCAGAAATGGGTCAACCGATTACTCAAGCGGGTCCCGCGTAAACCTATAGCCCACTCCTCAAGCATAGCTATAGCCTCCCCCACCTCTGAGGCGTCACCAACTGGCCTGTCCCCTGTGCCCTCTCCTCATCTGTCCTCCCATTCATCTCCCAGGCTTTCACACAGAGGAGCCGTCAAAGTGCATTCCACCAGACAGCAGCCCTCAACCAAGACCAGGTGAGAACCACTTGACCGATCAACAGGTTCATTAAAAGGAGCTTGAGGCAGAGTTCTGTTACATGGAGGTAGACTATCATGTATACAGTTCTGTTAATATGATATAATGTAGGGGCCAAATTTGTTAAACAACAATTTTGTCTGAAGAGGCTGATCTTTTATCAGTGTTTGATGACACAGCTCTTCCATGAACATCTGAATGCATAATTCATAACCATTTATACAAAGGCTTTTTCTATAATCTTTAAAATCTGCTTTACTGTTTCCTACTTACACTTCTGTATTAGCTTAAACTCTTCTGCTCATCTTTTCAAAATGTGTATTTCAGCATTGCTAATGATGTTGCTTCTTATAATTAATCACTTATATTTGTATAGTTCCTTATTTTTGCTTTATATATCAGCAATTCCTAAACTAGTGAAAAGGTTCACACAAAAATGAACTGAACTAATAGACTACTTGCAGTAATCTTATGGTGTGTTTTTTTTTGTTGTCCAGTTTATCGTTATAGTTATCGTCTAAGGACGGTAACTATAATGATAACGATAAATATGTAGTTCTAAAAATTGTTCTAAAGGAAAAAGAATAGCAGAGTCCATATACAACTTTAACGATAATGGCACAGAAAAACAATTGGTATCACTTTCAGAAGTATTTTTTCCAGCTGATGAACGATAAGAAAATTGACAGCCAGTCAGAATCTATCCTGCTTCAAGAGCTTGAGCATTTAAAGTGTCAGACAGCAAACCTGTAGTGCGTGCTTGGAATAAACAGAACAGTCTGCTGGAGTGGATACTAATTCAATTATTGTTATCTTTATAGTCTTGTTCTTAGTGTGAACAGGTCTTTAGAGCTTGGCAATTGTGGTCACTTTGAAACAAAGCAGCGTAAAATCCTTTAAAAGAAATTCTATTTGTTACAATGGGGACAAAATAACATACCAGTTTGGAATAAAAAGAGTGAGTAAATAATGGCAGCATTTTCATTTTTGGGTGAACTACTGCTTTAATCAAGGTAAATGTAGATTCTGCTGTTTTTAGTGCTGTTATGTGTATGTTGACCTGGTTTAGACTTGGCTATGAAGTTGTGCTGGTTCTCAATTGCTTACATTATACTGCTAAACTTTTATAGCCCTGGCCCCATGCTCCGTATCATTCTTCACTGACCTGTTCACATTTGACATTTCACCTTCCCCACTTGTGCATATGTGTGGACAGTAAGTACACTGCATCACTGCTTATCGACCAGGTTTTCTGCTTGCCTGTGGAGCTCTAAAAACCTCGCCTTCAGATGTGTGGCTGTCTGTACTCTTCTCTATATGTATCTGAAACAGAAATCCTCTTTGCTTGAGTGTCAACACATAAAAAAACATCCACTAACGATGCAATCTCTCTTTTAATTCAATAATATTGGAATCTAAATCTAACTGAACTGTGACATTTTCAACCCAATATCCTATTACTTTTCCAATAAGAAATAAACTACTATCATGCGTTTTTTGGGGGGGAAAATATCTGCCAAATAATGCCATGGTAAAATTAGATTTTATATTACAATAATCTGTATATGAAGGGCAGCATCTGTCACTCCTGCGTCTTTTTAGAGCTTAAAGAAAACACTTAAAATACTTTAAAAATATATACTTTCAGGTAAACATGGGTGGCCATCGTTTTTTTTTATGTTGACTTCTTTAATGACATTTGTATATGTGGCCGAATGACTCCTCTTTGTTCCAGATTGCTTGAGTTGGGCCTGAAGGACTGGGGTTGGTCTTTTGATGTTGAAATGGATGATGACGATGTATTAGACTTCTGAGGAGTTAAGATTGTGGGGTAACCACAGTGAAGCCTTAGCATGTATTTGTGTCTGTGTGTTGTTCATGCAATTGCTTAAAAGCTGTTTTTTTAAAAGTATGGTATTAATAGTGTGTTTTGTTCCCCTTTGAGGGACTATAACTAGGGCAAGTTTTTCAATATTGCCAATATGTTTGATGTACTTATCTGCGTGGGCATGTTTGTGTGTACATGTTTGGCTCAATTAAAAACATCTTGCTTACTTTGAACAAGGTGGATTTGAAAACTGATGGTGTTGTGGCGATGTCAACTGTTGCTTGTGGTTGAAAAGAAAATGGGATGGAATACTGTATGTTTGCCATATTTGATTCTTGGGATTTTTATTTATTTATTTTATTACTCAATGCTCTCTTTCTCCTTTCTCTTAATTTCAGCTAACATTGGTGAAGGCTGGATAGATGATGATCATTCTGGGAACTTTGAAAGCAGAGAATATCATTGTGTTTTTTTTTTGCAAATCGCAGGACTTCCAAGTGCCAAACTCCACAAGTATAAATGACTGGGTAGGTCTAATATTAATACAGCTCAAACTATAAATTCTCTAAAGGGTTTAGTTAATTTTAAGTCAATTTAAGAGTGTTTCATGTCTTTGTAGATTATACAATTCTTTAAAAAAAAGTAAAAAGTTTTTAAAGTAAAAGCATTTTAAATTTCAGAAGTTATTTTTATCTCCTTCCTTACAAGGTTGTCAGTAAGAGTGTCTGTTTGCCTGTGTGTGTGTGTGTGTTTGAAACAGAATATGTACTTAAGTTCTGCATTTATATGATCATCTGAATTTATATACTCAAGTATTATATCTATTTTTTTGTTAGGAAAAATACATTTAGTGGAACAGATTATATTTTTTATCAGGCATTATATCAAAGGACACTGCTTTTCAAGGTGCATTACTTATTGTCAAACCTATCTGCTCAAAATATATGCATTATTGAAGACATGATGCAAATATTCTTTTTGGAGCACATTTTATTAAAAGCTGTAACAAAAATTACACACAACTGTATGCATAGTGGAACATGATGACCTCCGGTCCAAACATTTTCTGTATTTTTTGTCATGTTGCCACTGACAAACTGTTGAGAAATTGTTAATAAAAAAGCTTTTATGATGGAAAACCTCTGACTCTGTGTGTGATGATCCAAACTCATCTGTGATATTTATATAGAACTATAAACATGTTTCTAGGATACAAAATTATGCAGACATCACCACTGGAGTGGACTAGGCTGTTCATTTCCCCACAGAAATGTTAAAAGTTAAGATAAAGGATTAACTAAGTTAAGATAAACATTGCATTAATGTATTCATTTAGCATAATTGTCATTACGTGTTCATAAGAACTTAAAGGGTTCATTGGATGCAAAAAAGTTTGCATTTAAATGCGTCTTTGCAGTGTGTGGACACAACCCCCATACACTGAAACAAATGGGCTCTATGCACGGCGGTATTTCCGGTGAAGGTCTAAGGATGCTGGATTACTTCCGCCGATCGTAGAGTCCAATGCTATACCGAGAATTTATATTGGTTTTTATATTCTGTTGCTATACTAAAGAAACGTTAGTCACAAAGACAGACAAAACAGACACCCCTCATTTTGTTTATGCTTCTTTGTTTATTATCAAATAAACATAACTATATATAAAATTACATCTAAACGTATTAAAGTTTCGTTTCAAAGACGAGAGGACAGTAAATTGTGAAGACTCTGCCATAATCCCGTTTTCCTCGGTTTTCCTCCGCTTTAAATCTCCCCAACTGGAAACGCAAGAGCATCCTTGCGTCAAACGCGGAAGTTATGCGTGCATATAGCCCATTTTACACAACCATTGAGGAATTTTAACTATTACAAACTTTACATGAAGACCCTAAAGAATCATACCAACTTGTGGAAAATGGGCATCCGATGACCCATTTAAAGCAATTATACATTAATTTATTTATACTTATTTATATTTATATTTATTTATAGGTCATTTATTAAGGGGTAAAAAAGCATGCTTTTTATTGTTGTAAACGAGTCACAACAATTGCTTATTAAAAGTCCACTGTTGAACAAGAGTTTGTTCCAGATGTGGACTTGGAAAATCCTTGTTTGCATGTTGACAAATGTAAAATGTGATCATTCAGGTTATAAAAGCAGAACCAATTCTGCATGACAAATTCTGACGGAATCAGGATAAATCCAAAATCCTGGATGCAAACCAGGTTGCCCAAAATGCAACAGTGCAATGCGCTGCCCACGAGGCTATCGGCACCAACTAGCCAGCATCAGTTTTGTAAATATTAAAACCTCATATTGCAAGAAACATGGGGAGAACAGAATCTGATTGCAAACAACCCAGCTGTCAGAATCCACCCCCATGATAAGAAATGTTGATGTAGTGGCTTAAAAGATGCTGATTTTTTTTACGTTTGTGGATGGAGTTGAACCAGTATCAGTTTAAATATTTATTTGTTGGCATTTTTGCCTTTTATTATGATAAGACAGTGTGGACAGGAAGCAAAGTGGGAGAGAGAGGGGGACGGGATTATAAAAAGTCCTCAAGCTGGGACTTGAACCTGGGTCACCCGAAGCACAATGACAGTGTGCTGCCCACGAGGCTATCAGTGCCAACTAGCCAAGATCATGAAACATGGGGGAAAGGAATCCTACGGCAAACAATCCAGCTGTCGAAATCCGTTCCCCCACCCCCATGATAGAGATATTGATGTAATGGCTTAAAATATGCTTATTCTGTGCGTGGATGGAGATTGGTTAGAATAGATTAGATCTAGAATATTAGAATAGATTCTAATATTTAGAATTAAAAATTACCAAAATTGAGTTAGCCCAACTAAAATTAAATTGTTCAAAATTAAGTTCAGCTCAACTCAATAATTAATATTTAGAATTAAAATTTTCTAAAATTGAATTGGCCCAACTCAATTTAAATTTTTCAAAATTAAGTTGTCTCAACTCAATAATTAATATTTAGAATTAAAATTTTCCAAAATTAAGTTGATCCAACTCAATAATTAATATTTAGAATTAAAATTTTCCAAAATTAAGTTGCCCCAACTCAATTTAAATTGTTCAAAATTAAGTTGGCTCAACTCAATAATTAATATTTAGGATTAAAAATTTCTAAAATTAAGTTGGCCCAACTCAATAATTAATATTTAGAATTAAAATTTTCTAAAATTAAGTTGGCCCAACTCAATTTAAATTGTTCAAAAATTAAGTTGATCCAACTCAATAATTAAAATTTAGAATTAAAATTTTCCAAAATTAAGTTGCCCCAACTCAATTTAAATTGTTCAAAATTAAGTTGGCTCAACTCAATAATTAATATTTAGGATTAAAAATTTCTAAAATTAAGTTGGCCCAACTCAATAATTAATATTTAGAATTAAAATTTTCTAAAATTAAGTTGGCCCAACTCAATTTAAATTGTTCAAAAATTAAGTTGATCCAACTCAATAATTAATATTTCGAATCTAAATTTTCCAAAATTAAGTTGGCCGAACTCAATTTAAATTGTTCAAAATTAAGTTGGCCAAACTCAATAATTAATATTTAGAATTTAAATTGTTCAAAATTAAGTTAGCCCAACTCAATAAATAATATTTAGAATTTAAATTTTCTAAAATTAAGTTGGCCCAACTCAATTTAAATTGTTAAAAAAAAATTAAGTTGATCCAACTCAATAATTAATATTTAGAATTTAAATTTTCCAAAATTAAGTTGGCCTAACTCAATAATTAATATTTAGAATTTAATTAGTCTAAAATTAAGTTGGCCCAACTCAATTTAAATTGTTCAAAATTAAGTTGTTCCAACTCAATAATTAATATTTAGAATAGGGCTGTCACGATGTTAGATTTTTCACACCACGGTTATTGTGGCCAAAATAATTCACGATATCGATATATCGCGATATCTATAGAAACCTTGGGGGGGAAAAATGTCAAATCAGTCAAATTACTTTTTACTTTGTTTATTTAATTTTTCTTTTTTGTGCATTTTTACGTCTTGCGTTCTTATCTTTGAATGCACATTTTTGTGAAGTAAGACAAGCATGTGAAGTATATCTGGTTTCAAACTGGAGCGAAACACTGTCTTAATGAATGTTTCCTGAAGAACTGAAAAGCTCTTAAACCTATTGTTGCGCTTGCGCCGGTGCAAGTCATGCAGATTTGAACAAAACAAATCAAGTGCAAATACAAAAATACACAAATAAGACGAGTAAAGAAAACGGGGTACTTAATAATCACCCTTTATTTAAACATATGAAAACAAAAACCCGCTGTTAACAGGTGTCACATTTCCCATTCCATGACTAGTAAAATAATCGCAATTTACTCTCTGTAAAATAGCGTAATCCGCAGGGTGATGGACGCGGAGATGGGTAAAAAGGTTGGTGGCTACACATTCTGCAGATTGGGCTTAAGGGGGTCGCAGACCGGACGAGAAGCGCAGCTCCGCGCCGCGTCGTGTGTAGCACACCTGACGCGCACTTTCTCAGTTCATGGCCAGCAATATTGTTATGTTTAAGGACATTATGAAATTAAGATCATGTCTGTACTTTGTTATGATTGTACTGTACAATTAAATACAATCGTTGCTAAGTCTGCAGTCTGAACACTTTACCTCAGTCAGAGCGCATCCGTTAACTGAATGATTTGAGAATCTCACCTGAAAATCCGAGCCATTGCTAGGCGTCGCGGACAGACGCCGAATGGTGCCGGTGGTGTGTGTAAACTCCTAGAAAATAATGTGTTCGAATTTTAAAGAATTCTCTGCGCTTCTCGTCCGGTGTGCGACCCCCTTTAAAGTGCTGTTTTCTTTGAAGCCGAAGAACTCCCATACCAGAGTGGCTGCGCGGGCGCGCGCTGCGTCTTCTCATTTGATAGATGTCGCGGGTGCAATACTGCCACCTCAACTGGCGCTGGAGTATACGTGTCATGTTATCATAAAAGTCCTATTCATTTTAAACATCGTGGTTATCGCCAATACCGGTATATTGCCACACTCTAAATTAACACGATGTCGATATTTCAAGCTTTGAATATCACGATTATCGTCAATACCGGTATATTGCGACACCCCTAATTTAGAATTTAAATTTTCCAAAATTAAGTTGGCCAAACTCAATCATTAATATTTAGAATTTAATTTTTCAAAAATTGAGTTGGCCCAACTCAATTTAAATTGTTCAAAATGTCAAACATCTATACATGGATCTATACATTTTCTGTCAGTTTTCGGTTCATTTATGAGACGCGCTCCAGTTCACGCGCCGGCGCCTCCATTTCCTAATTATATTGTCTACTATATTTGCTTGTTTATTAATCCAGTCAATTTGTTGATGAAAACATTGATTAAAATGAAGATACAATTTATACAAAACGAAATTCACTTAAAACAAAACTTAATAAGTGGTCAGAATTATGTCTGACCCATTCCAAATGTTTTCCGATATATGGTGCACTGATGGACCAAAGAGCGCGCATTTCGACATTTGCAGTAAAAACTTGAAATATAAATTCTCAGAAAATGCATTTAATAGCACTATATTGAAACGTCTGTTTATATACTCCATTAATAAAGGAGTCCAGACATTGAAAAAAGTCCACATGCGTTTTATATTTAATATGAGGGAAATAGACATGCATGCGTGACACAAAAAATATTTAACTTTAAGGTAGCAAAATATTATTTTGAGAACTCTACTAGACTTACTCACTCCTAAATCATGAAATTTCACACATCCACCATCTCTTGAGTTTTATTATATTTTTTAGTAATTCTGTCAATTACACTAAGGTTAGATTTCATTGAAGGTAAATTGGAGCGGCCACACTGAGCTGTGCGTAACGCCCACAGACGTGAAGTGAACGAGACAGAGGCTGCCGGTACTGTCTGAAATGGTTAACTCTGTGGCGATGCATGTGCAAAACAGATTTAAAGGGGTCATATAATGGTACATGCACTTTTACAAGTTGATTGTACTGAAATGTGTGTTGGCAGTGCCTGTCCACAACCATCATATAATGATAAAAATCCATCCAGTGTTTTTGTTTTAATCTCCTTATGTTTTTCCCTTGCCTTAAATCAAGCCGTTCGACCGTGTGACGTCA